TGATGATGATGATGATGATGATGATGATGATGATGATGATGATGATGATTATGGAAACAACACATGTAGAACAAAATGAAACATGTAAGGCAGGTGTTCACAACCTGGCTTCGGATGCTTGCAATGAAGATGGTCTGATGTTTGTTTCTCCGCGTTTTTGGAGGAAACATCCAACCTCCCACCCCGCAAGGATGTGTGGCCCCTCGAGCCAATTCTGCTGCAGAAATCTGCCCAGTCGTTCAGCACCAAACAACGGAGCGGCCACTCTCCGGCAGGCACACCCAGAAGCATCATTTTGACAAGGCCAAACGGGATCCCAGTTGCAAACATGTGCTGCTTTTCGCCAGGACCATTTTTCTGGGCCTTTTCCAGCACAACACATGTGCTTCAGTTGCTTTCCAGGGCCATCGCCGCTTCTTCTCCATAGTGTTGCCGGACGAGTTGGGCCAAGGCCGGAACAATGGCCTGGCGAGCCGGGGCGATCCGACCTGTGGCCCCATGGCTAGACGGTCTATCCTTTGGCCATGCAGGGCCCAGTGGATGATGATGGGGCCTGGTTGCAGGTCTTCCGAGCTCTAAATATAATGAGGTTCTTAGGCCCAAAACGACTGTGACAGGTTTTCTGCGACAGACTCAAACCATGGGCCCGGACCCCATCAGATGATCAGGTACACTCTCATTTTCGACGCTATATATTAGCTGATGCATGCTAACTTTGTGGGTAGTGTCGCAACACCTATAGCCAAAAGCCAGTGAACTCTACCACACTCCCATGCAAAGAAAAGCGCTGGTGCATGGAAAACCATCAGTCTGACTCACATTAAAAGGAGCAAGTCCAAGGGATTGCTGAGGGCTGTGGGTGGGTGGTCTGCTTTGGTACTTCAAAACTATTTGGTCGCCCCAGTGATTCTCTGAAGAAGAAAATACGTCGCCCAAGAAGGAAAGGTTCGTATGGCTCCCGAAATCAAGCCGGCCCTCGAGTCCTGACGCAGGAAGGAGTCAACGAAGTCAAGGCGAAATCGAATTCGATTGGACCAGCTTTGCAGGCAAAACAGCTTGCATTACAAACCAATCACATGACTTCCAAGTCCCAACAAAGAGGGTTGGCAAAGGGTCCCTGATGCCTTCGATTTGCATTTTTGGTTCACTTAACCTCTTGATCCGATGGGACAAGGTTTCTTAAGGCCACGCCCTACACCGCCTGGGATCAACCGCAAGTAGTAGGATCGGGTCCACCAACTATGGAAAATTGTGTTTTTCAGTGACACCAATCCTGTCCCACATGTGCCATCAGATTCAATCAAACGACCGTCGGTCCCCCTCTCAAGACCCAAATCTTCTTCACAGCACAAACTTATGTCGAACTCCAATTTGTCCCATATTCAACCATTCTTGGTAAAATTATTTTAAACTAAATGAAAGTATACTTGTTGCACCAAATTACTGCACTCATCATCCTCTCACTTTCGTTCACCTCCAAAACAACCCCCATCCAACCTGACCTCCCGTCGACCCAGTCTCATCTGACCTCCCGTCCGTCGCGCCTGGCGCCAGGCGTCGCTGGTGGCGTCGACCACCTGGAAGTGGTCGGCCTGGGAGATCTCGAGCACCGAGACCAGGGCGGGCGCTCCAGCGCGCGCCGCGTGGGCATAGGCTTTGACCTAGGCATGGACGCAGCGATCCGCTCCAATGGATCCACCTGGGTGAGGGTGAGTACATCACCTTTTTCGGAGTGCATCTCTGTTTGCGGGAAGGCAGTGTTCAATGTTAGGGTGTACATGTAGTGTAGGGGGAGCGGGATTCAACATCGTGAGAATCACCATCCCGTCCAATTGAACCTGAACTTCACCAGTCCAGCCTACACTTCCATTGGGTGCCCCAATGTCAAAACAAGTCAGCTCTTCCCAAGTTCTTCGTCTACTCAACCGCATACACCGCAAGAGAAGAAGAATCCCATCCAAGGAGCCAAAAGGGCCTCACATTCCGGATCAGCAGACTTCAGTGCAAACGCGTCCTCTTCCGGACGCAGCGGCCGGTTCACGCGGGCGCCCGTTCGCCTTCTCGCAGCGGCCCAGTGACGAGCTCGGGAGGTACGTCGGCATCCGCATCACCATAGACGATGAGCAGTGGGAAGCTCACTGGCAGGTTCGCGGCTGGGGAGGCCAATCGATAGGCCTCCAGAGCACTCTCAGAGGTCGGTGGCTGCTTCCTGAGGAGCTGGAAAGAAGAACCCAAGTGGAGTTCTGGTTGGTCCAACGTAAGTTCAGCAGTTGATGAGGATTCTGTTCTACAGGAGTTTTTGTTGTTTCAAAGCAGGTGGTAGTTGGGTGATTCCCGTTTCGGATGACTGCAACCTACTTGCAAAGCCTGCAAAGTCCAGCCGTTCATGATCTTACAACGAGGGCATGTCACATGATGCCTGCACCTACGCCCAAGCCATTCAAGGCCGAGTCAAATCTCAGTTCGAAGCATGGCTTCCACCCGTCCAGCGGGAAGAACAAAATAAGCGAGATGAACACCTGAGAAAGGCCTTCTTTCTCCTTCCATGATCAATCACCCTCTCTCTCCCTAATCCACCTGTCCACATCCTTCACTCGATGAGCCAGGTTCTCTGAATTTCTCCGTCCCTGTCAGACGTACCTTCTGAGGTTTTGGGGGGTTGTGAGGTTGCTCGCTTTCGCATCTCTTTCTCCTTCGTTGAAGCCGTGCAGTGCAGACTACCCTCCCTCCAAGAAAAATGGAAGTGCAGCTTACCCCCTAGTTCCTGCAGGAAATCATGTTCAACAGGATTTACTGTTCGCTGAGAAGTTGTTCTGAATATTCATGAAGAGAAAACAATAAACGAAGGACACCGGCACTTGCCCCACAAAATGCGCCAGAGACGTGCCAGTGCTTTTGGAAGAATGAGCGTGACCAGCGTGAAACAAAGGCCTGTAACTATCGCAGCTGTTCATTCGAGCATCATATACAACTCCACAGCATCGCCTTCATCTGAGACCTTCATCTCCTCAATCTGACACCGTTCGGCAGGGGTCTCGGGGTCACCCTGTTCTTGTTGGCAAATAAAGGAGTCAGGTCAAGCATTGAAAAGTGTGATCGTGAGTGGGCAACAACACGGTGTTACATGGTCTTAAACATTCTTGAACACTGTATGACAAAGATGGAAAGACATGGAAAGACTGCTATGCCAAGGTAACTATGCACCTCCAGTCTCATCCTGGAAGCTGCCAGGCGTATGCAAAAAGAAAAGAAAAACCTAAAACTGCAGGGTTTGGACACACGAATCAGCGGACACGGCACGTCGTGGAGAAGGCAACGTGAGACTTATTGGGGCAACCAAAATGAACCCCCTCCAACATCCAGAATATCTTGTATGAGATGATACACTGGACACGTGGATGATTTGCAGTCTAACTGGCCATATATAAACATATTCCCCGGAAGGGAAGTCATCCATAGGGAAAACAAAACGTCACCCGAAGTAAAACCAAGTACGACAATCTCGATTTCCCCTACACCAACTCAGCCATCCCAATTTCAGCACCCATCCACGTCTTGTCCACCGTATACGGAAACAGAAAAACAACTACACACTCCAAGTCCGCACTGCCGACTCTCCTCCACGTCCCCCTTCCATTCTAAGTCTCATATCCCTTCACCAAGTCCGCCACCGGCGCCGCGGCCAGCACCAGCGGTGCCACTGCACCAGCGGTGCCACTCCACCGCTGAGCGGCCCACAGGGCTAAACAGCCGCCAGCGGAGTGGCCCAGCAGAATCAGCCGCTCGGGGCCTGCGCGAGGCGCAGCCGGAGTGCGGTTGTTTGGGCAAAAAGAACGGGGAAAAAAACCGCTCCAAAGAGTCCTCCGGTGATTGAAACCTCCACATGCGCCGATTCCAAACCGCCAAGTAGTTGGTGCTTGCCCGATGAATTTACATGGTGCTTGCCATGCGGTGTGCAGTCATGTGCAGTGCGCAGCGGGGAGGAACAGAGGAGCAACGAATGGTGTGTCTGAAGAACGTAACGGTCCATTGAGAAAAAGCATTGACAAACCATTGACACACAGATTATCCGCTGCCGCTTAGAGAAAGTATGAGAAAAATGCAAGTCCACGTGTCCACATGCAAGTCTGCAGCCGATACATGCTTGATGGAACCTTTTTGTAACTAACAAAGCTAAATTCTACACACATGTTACTCAATACAGCACCAGGGAAAGGGTGTCCATTGACAGCCCCGAAAAGAGGTCAAGGGATGTTCATTAACCATCCCCGACTGGGGGTCCAGTGGTCCCGGTCACAGGTCACCGTCTGACTAGTCCACTGGGCTGGTCGCCATCAGCGCGCTTAGCAAGGCCCATTTCGCACATGTCGCCCAAAGCACTGCGCGTAGCATTGAAGCCCAATGGCTGTGGGTCATGGCACCCAGAGCCCTAATCCTTGGTAGGTTGACCTCCCGTTTTTGTCTGTGGTAAAAACCCGGGTGTTTTCGATTTTGACCCACAGCCAAAGTTCGTGACTCGAACGCACTACCAGGGGCAGTCCACGCGGTCCACACGCAGTTCACGAGGCCCAGTGAAGAAGAACGAACAAATACAGTTCTTCTGCACACAGAGTGAAGTGCCTGAAATCAGAGCTGGTAGCTGAAATTCCAGCTTTGAAGTCAGTTAATCTGGACCTGTGACCAGTGAAGTCGTTTTCTGAGAGGAAAAAAAAATGATATGCGAAGAGCACCTCAAATCCTACAGTCGTTTCAGAGGTGAGAAATGGCATCCAAACACCCAAAGATGTCTATCTGACAGATGGGGGTCCATTCTTTCACCACCGACCTTTTGGGGATTGTGCACTCTGAAAGCACTGTAGATGAAAGTCCAACCTCTTCAAAGCCTGAGAACTTCCACCTTCACCCACTTCGGTGTGTCTTTTGTTTCACCCCGACCGCGCGTGCTCCCGCTCCGCGCGTGCTCCGCGCTCCCGGTCTGGCCCCAATAGACCGGGAGACTCTCACCGAGACCGAGGCACGCAAGCTTTGGATCGCTTCACCTCGCTGCGGAGTCCGACGGAGCATCGAACCGGTCTGATGAGTCTTCACGTACGACATAGACATGCGAAAGGGCACGAACGAAGATGCGTTTGTGGATGGCACGCCCCCTGTTCGTAGATAAAGAAGGAAAGTAACAGTAGATTCTTCCTTTCGGGACCATGCCATCCACTTCCATATGATGTGTTCATCAGTGTAGACTGAAAAAGGATGGACATGTTGTTTACTGAAAAATGAACACATTCATTGAAGATCATTGTAGGTTGACAAATGTAAGATACAAATCCAAATCAAAAAACACACCCGTTGAAAAGTCCCCTCCTCCAAAAACCGAAAGCTCGACAAACACATGGCAAGCTGGTAGAAGAAATAGAGGCTCCACTTACTGCTAAACCAGAGCGTCTAGTTCCCTACCCCATAGACTCCATGTATGCCATATATGCCGATCCATTGACCCCCCAAACCACCCCAACTGATCGATAGTCCTTTGGCAGTCCCATGGAGTCTAGTATACGGTACTACAGACCATCATACATGATCATACACGTAATTTCTTTTGCGATTGTGGGCCCCGGGTCACGCGATCGCTTCACGAAATTGACCGCCCACCAAAACCCCACGATCGATGTCCTCCCCCGATGCGAAGAAGATCGGGAACCCGGTCAAGATGGGATCACGAAAGGGTGCCACCCGTCTTAGACGACGACGAGGAGGTCGTTACTTCAGCCATGACACCGAGCTGAGGAGAAAGCGGCAGACCTTCCTCCAAGCCTTCTGCTTTCAGCTGCGAGATCCGCGTCAAGGCACTCAGGATGTCCTCGAAAGCGAAGAAATGCTTGGTCCAATGCTCTTGTTTTCATCAGGAAGTGCCAAAGACTGGAATAGCTCGTCGTCCTTCCGGATAGTTTCGTCCTTCAGGAAAAAAGATGCATACATTTGCTGGGCACATGCAGAGCTATACATGGAATAGCCCTCAAAATGGACCCCTGTTTCCGTGGGTTTGGTGTTTGAAAACGTGGGTCCTGTGGCGGCAGGACAGGGCTCCATTTTCCGGTCTAAATCTCCATGAGTTGGTTTTTATACGAAAATGTATGGCTTTACTGAATCAAAGCTACATTGCACATCCAGGAATTTTCATGTTTGTTTAATGAGTCCTCGTACGCTGGAAATCACACCAAGCTACAAGTCCTTCAAGGTCTTCCCGGTTCAGCTACATCTTCAGGTTCAAGATGCTTCCTACATAATTAATTAAGGTGGAGAAACTGCAGTCAACCCATGTCTCCACTTCGCGTGCAGCCCCCAAGAGTCCCAAGAGTGCTTGCTAAGAACCAACCACCCCATGCAACCTCCGTCTGCTTCGCTCCCTCTGCCTCGTTGGTGCCAGGCCAACCACCTCCGGGATGGTCGCGGCGGCGGTACTCCACCTCCACCGCCGAGAAGCCCTTCTCCCAAAAGAAGCGATGCAGGCCTGCTTGCATCGCCGAGGGCGGGGCGCAGACCCGGCACCGCAGGCCCTGGTGACCCGACCCTGACGGTGACCACGGCGGGAAAGAGTGCTGCACTCGTCGACCCGGACTCCAACGTGGGGGGGTTTTCAGGGTCCGACGTGGGGTCGTCAGAATGTCGTCCCAGCTGTTGTGGGACACAGAATGCCGTTGAACTCTCTAGAAATCCCCAGCCAACATCAGACAGTATGTGGATCTTGAGAATCCATCACGTCTCCATCCTAGTACTGGATTTACTGGGTGTATGTCACATGACCAATCACGAAACTCAACACCCAAACGCCTTATCGACCCCATCTTCCAAGCCAGGAATCTGATGGTGCCGGCATTGCCATAGGCGTCATCCAGGCCAAACTTGTTCTTCCAGTAGCCTGGACGAAGATAGGCAAACGGTAAACGTGCTGAAGACACCACGGAAACTACCCGTCTACAGTCTACACAATTCTGAACAATTTTCAATTGGGAATCAAGAGTGGGTCACCCAGGTCACCCAAAAAGCCCTCATGCTTCCAAGCTCAAGACCCGCTGGAAGAAGGTCAATAGACCAGTCTACCCATTGGTTGGGGGGCTCTCTATGAAAATACACATCCACATGTAGGATATAATATACACGTGGGTCTTTAGAAGTGTCCGGTCCCCATGAGACTTGTTTGTTGAGAAGCAGGCAAGGCACGCGCACCCATTAGGATGCTATTCTGCCATGCATTTTCAAGAAAGCCTTTACAGGAAGTGGTCCATGGCACTACAACAGAAACATTCCACATCAATACCGCGAGAAACCAACAAGACCAAAGAAACCAAAGATACGTGAACACTACCATATGATCTCACTTTTTCTTAAACATAATAGTAACATTGGTTGATGTCATGCCGCATGAACCACAGACTGTGTGGACTTCATCTCTACGGGGCCCGGGCCAGACTTCGTAAGAAAAATGAGACGGCGCGCTTCTTTAAAAGTAATATATGTATAATGATTGTACACCAGGATCATCCAATGGGTGACCAATAGACTACCCCACCCCAGACAGGGCACCCGTTGGCTAGGCATGTACAAACGTCAATCTATTGGTCATTCGCATGTGTCTCCAGTGTCCATCCTCCAAACGACTCGACCGGTCAACGCCTCCATGGAGCACCACCACGGTGCCATGGGCTCGCCCCCCACGTGGTGCCCGGTGCAGCCGCAGGAAGCGGCTACGGTCCTCCACGCCGGCCACGCCGGCCGCGGCCGGCACCAAAGGCAGGTCCCACCACTCGGTCTCCGCCATGGGCGGCAGAAGAAGTCGACTGGGGGCCTATAGTTGGGCCAAGGAGTAGAAGGTCTAACAGCGGCAGAAGTCACAGATCCTGGCCGAAGGTCTTGGATCGCAGGGTCTTCTCCCAGCACGATCATTTTCAGGAATGGAGACATTTCTGGATCCCTCCCAGAGAGGTTAGACTCTACAACACTATGACTATGACTTTGTGGCTGGGATCTTTGGTCATCATCAGGGATTGGTGGAGAAAGCGTGGCAGGACATCTAGGTTCTATGTGATGACCCATGGGTATGTCGGTATGTCCTGAGGATCGGTTCTTCCTGCGATTCATCCATGTCAATGAGGCCAATGATCTGTTCAGCTACAATGAGCCAGAGAGACTGCAGCTTGCCCAGCTGGCCCATGCCATCGTATAAACTTTATGTAATATAAATATATATATATTATATATATTCTATTATATATATACTACAGGCTCTGGCAGCAAGTCCTATGTCATGTACCTCAATTATGCTACACAAGTCCTATCTCACTGAGGCCAGTATAAAAATCCTCCAGACCCACCATTCATGTTGTTTTTTTTCTGGTGGATGGAAGCAATCCTGCAGATCCGCTGTGATCGGCGCTCTGGTCAGTCCTCCGTTGTCGGCTGTTTGTGTCACGTGTTCCACCAATGATTGGTGTGGTCATCTGCGACTCGATACTACTTCCATACTACTTGCACATCATATATGATGTGTTCGTCAGAGTGCACTACACTAAGCAGTTTCCACCGGTCTGAACACATAAGTCTGGGGGGAATCTATGTATTATTCACTGGGTAGGTCATTCCAATCCCCCAGCCAATGACTTGCTAAAGCAAGAGTAACTCCAGCTAGCTGACGTTAGCTTTCGTGACATGTTGTTTCTTGACTATCGCGGCGCGTTGCAAGGTCGAAGCCAAACGTCACCTAGAGAAGAGGAGGGCAAGAAGAGCAGAAAGAAGTAGTGAGAACTAAATAGCTTTCGTGACATGTTGGATCATGTTGGCCCAACCTGTGGTATGTCCCATGGTTCTCTACTCCATTAGCCACTGCGTGTTGGTTTTGCTAAATATCTTGCCTACTCCTATCCAGGTAGCATTGAGAAGTCATACTTATTACCCATAGACTCCATGGGACTGCCATAAATGCCTACATTGACCTCCCAAACCACCCCAATTGATCGGCAGTCCTATGATCCTATGGCAGTCCCATGGAGTCTATGGGTAATAAGTATGACTTCTCAAATGAATCTTCTCGACCCACGGCACACAAGCCGATGCCAGTCAAATGCCGCCAGCCAAGCTTCGCCCCCAAGCAGCATGCCTACATCCAACCATTTGCAGGTTAACCCAATATAAATCTTTACATAAAACTCTGCTCACATGACCGAGGCGAATTCCAACAAGTGGCTAGCACCGAGAAGAGAGAGTAAATCAGTGGACACCTAATTCCTACTGGGTCGATCGGTGTTGTTCACCATACTTGCTGCAACAAACCCGCATCAATAGAACCTGAGTGACGACTCTATTTTGGATCACCAACCAACCAAAATATGATCTTGTCCTATCAAAACAATGGTCAAATCGGTTGAAGGGCATCTTCTGTTCCTCTTCAATGTCGATGATCACATCAATCTCAGGCGGTCTGCGGTCTGCGCATTGATTTTCAAGCCATGCGTTGTCAACGACAAATCCTTCAAAAAGTCGGCGCCGTCTGGTGTTTGCGTGGATGAACTTCGCTGAGCTCTGGTTTACCACTCAGAGATGTAAAGGCTCTGCTAGTCAAAAAGGGAGAAAGAAAAAATTGCAAAAAAACACGCAGTTAAAAATAACATAAACGTAACAATTTCAATGAACGGTAGTTCCAAACATTTGGTGCAGTGACACGCTTCGTGTCCTAAAAGTCAGTCCATTTACAAGTCAACCAGGCAGTCTGACGGCCATCCACTCTTCATCTTGTCCACCCACCTCTGAGCCAAAGAATTGCGCGTTGCAGAGGGACATTGCTTCAGCTGAAAACGACGCTTTCAGCCAAACCGTTTGTCAAAAAAATAATAAAAAAGGCCGGGAATAATTTATAGCACTCGCTCAGTTTCATTTTGCTTTATTTGACTATAAGAAGTATGGACAAGTTTCGAGCGCATACAAAATGATACAATACATCTCTTTGGGTACTGCAAAGATGTCCCCTTTTCACAAGAGGAAAACACTTGAATCTGAAATGAAATGTACAAACATCTTAAGGTCAGCAAAAGCCTAGACTGACTCATGAAACAACTGATTGGCCAGCCTCTCAAATTGGGTTGCTGTGTGTGTGTGTCCACCCCTGGACAAAGGGTTTTCCACCACCACCTTTCG